GCCGAGGCGTCGCCTCGACTGATCGTGGCCGAGGCGTGCGCCTCGACTGATCGTGGCCGAGGCGTGCGCTTCGACTGATCGTGGCCGAGGCGTCTCCTCGACCGATCGTGGCCGAGGCGTGCGCTTCGACTGATCGTGACCGAGGCGTCGCCTCGACCGATCGTGGCCGAGGCGTCGCCTCGACCGATCGTGGCCGAGGCGTCGCCTCTGCTGACCGTGGCCGAGGCGTCGCCTCGACCGATCGTGGCCGAGGCGTGCGCCTCGACCGACCGTGGCCGAGGCGTGCGCCTCGACCGATCGTGGCCGAGGCGTGGCCTCGACCGATCGTGGCCGAGGCGTGCGCCTCGACCGACCGTGGCCGAGGCGTGCGCCTCGACCGATCGTGGCCGAGGCGTGCGCCTCGACCGATCGTGGCCGAGGCGTGGCCTCGACCGATCGTGGCCGAGGCATCGCCTCGACCGACCGTGGCCGAGGCGTCGCCTCGACCGTTCGTGGCCGAGGCGTCGCCTCGACCGTTCGTGGCCGAGGCGTCGCCTCGACCGACCGCGGCCGAGACGTGCGCCTCGGCTGATCGTGGCCGAGGCGTGCGCCTCGGCTGATCGTGGCCGAGGCGTGGCCTCGACCGATCGTGGCCGAGGCGTGGCCTCGACCGATCGTGGCCGAGGCGTCGCCTCGTCCGATCGTGGCCGAGGCGTCGCCTCGACTGATCGTGGCCGAGGCGTCGCCTCGACCACTCGTGGCGGAGGCGTGCGCTTCGGCTGATCGTGGCCGAGGCGTAGCCTCGAACGATCGTGGCTGGGGCAGGCTCCGGCCTTTTTTTTTTTTTTTCTTTCTTTGGCCGAGACGGACTTCGGCGTTGGCCGAGGCGGGCGCCTCGGCCGAACCGTGGCCAAAGCGGCCGCCTCGGCCAACAGTTGGCCGAAGCGTGCGCCTCGGCCAACCATTGGCCGAAGCGCACCTCGGTCAGACTGTGGCCGAGGCGGGCTCCTCGGCCGAACTTTGGCCGAGGCTTGCCTCGGCCATCCGAGTTGAGTTACGTTTCGGCCAACCTGTGGCCGGGGCGTGCGACTCGTTATTTTTTTTTTTTTTTTTCTTTTTTTGGAAACAACATGGGCGCACCACAAGCACGAGATACTATTCCAAAAGATTTCAGAATGCAAAGCGGGCGGACCGCGATTACCAAACACTAGTCCCAAACGACTACTAGAATATTAAGGAAAATACTTAATCAAATGTTCCTAGCTCCATACCCGATCGATTATCTTTACAGATGGTGTGGACTTATGGATCATTTCTGCCATTCTTTTTGCATGCTTTAACGTAACAACTGCGGCTGCTCGCTGGTTTCCTCTGACGACCCCTATCCCATTTGGAGTAGGGAACTTCATACACAAGTGTTCCACCGACACTATGGCCTTGAGGTCCTCCAGTGCCGGCCTCCCCAAAATGATGTTGTGCGCACAAGTGAGTCTTACCACGATGAATTCCATGTCAAGTTTGCGAATGTTAGGGCTCGTGCCTATCTCCACTGGTAAGGCCACCGACCCCTCCGTCTCCACTGAATCACCCGTAAATCCAGAGAGTGGGGTACGTACTTCTTTGAGCTGGTTCCTAGGTATCCCCAACTTGGTGAAGGCATCGTAATACATCACATTGACTGAGCTTCCCGTGTCGACTAAGATGCGGCGGATAATGACATCGTTGACGTCCATCTCAATCACCAAGGCGTCAGGATGGGGTAGCGGGCCCTCTGGGAGGTCATCATTAGAGAAGGTGATGGCCTCCTGTCTCTGTTTCTTTTCTCTAGGAAGACTCGCCACTTCTCCCATGTATATCTGTCGGCTCCACTTCTTTCTTTCTGCGGGCGTGTCGCCCCCTGCCGGTCCACCATAGATAAAGTGTATGGTGTGCTTCTTTTGTCGTCTGGGCGCCACCTCGGTTTCTTTCTCGCTATCACTCTGCTCAGATATTTGGTCGTGGTCTTTTTTTTTGGCATTTGAGGTGGATGGCTCGGTGCCATCCTCATTCATCCAGACATTTTTTGGTGGATTGTGTTGCGTAACAATAGTTGTATTGCCTTTTGTCTCAGTATAGAAAGTACAGTGTGTCCTTGTCCAGAGTATTGAACGTGTCCCCTGCTCAGCTGAGGGAAGTTCTATTTATGCTAGGTCCTAACGGTAACAACATGAAGAGACATCTTTGGGGAGCTGAGCTAACGGCAAGAATATGAAGAGTCATGAATGAGGCGTTGAGGCTTTAACTCTCTCTCATCAATGGTGGCATCAAAGGTGGCTTCAATGACAATAAATGTGACACCTGTTGGAATCTAACAGTTGGAGTTCTGCCCGTTGGGTTCCCATGTGATGCTGAGTCAGATGCTCATTTGTGATCCAGGTCGGGTGCCAGCCCTATTATCCTGTCATATATATATATATATATATATATATATATATATATATATATATATATATATATATATATATATATAGAGAGAGAGAGAGAGAGAGAAGGGTTCAGGTGCGGGGATGGCTTCCCTTGAGGTTGTGCGGTTGGACGCACCTTAATCATTAACATGGCGCATCTTATATACACAAATCACCACGCACCTTAAGTCCACAAACAAAGCACCTTAAGAACACAAATCATTCACCTTAAGTACAAAACCCAAGCACATCAAGCACAGAACAAAGCACTTTGAGCACAAAACTCACACACTTAAGATTTTAAAATGTCTCACATTAAACACAAACTCACGTACATTAAGTACAAAACCCATGCACATTAAGCACAACCTCACGCACATTAAGCACAACCTCACGCACATTAAGTATTAACTCACAGACCTTAATTTTCAACAACTACTGACATTAATCACTAACCTGACACACATTAAGCACAAACCCTACGCACATTAAGCACAAACTCCACTCACATTAAGAACAATTCTCATGCACCTTAAGCACAAAAGCCCACACTTTAAGTTTTAACAACTACTCACATTAAGCACAACCCCACGCACATTAAGCACAAAACTCACGCACCTTACGCACAAGACTTACGCATCTTATATACAAAACTCACGCACATTAATCACAACACCGCTCACTTTAATTTTGACCTAGATGCAAAAATTACAAAATTGCCACCGCATTTTTTTAAAAAAAATTTTTGTAATCCTGGACGTTGATTTAAGCGAGATGAATGGCCCAGATTAAACCGCACAACCGCACCTAGGCACCCTAACCGCACCAAAACCTAATTCTATATATATATATATATATATATATATATATATATATATATATATATATATATATATATATATATATATATATATATATATATAGGGAAGGGATCAGGTGCATTTGTTGCTTCCCGTGCGGATGTGCGGTGGATTAATGTGCGTGAGGTTTATACATAATGTGCGTGAGATTTGTACTCAATGTGCCTTAGATTTGTACTTAATGTGCGTCATGTTAATATGCGTGAGTTTTGTACTTAATGTGCCTGAGTATTGTGTTTAATGTGCGTGAGATTTGTGCTTAATGTGTGTGCGTATTTCATAATTACGAGCTCAGAAGGAAGCAGAACAGAAACTCGCGTACATTAACGCCCAAGCTTCTTGTTACTTCTTCCTTCAATTTGGCCATGGATTCTAGATTATCAGCTACCTTCAGTACAGTTGAATGTTTATATAAATGACGCACGCACAGTAAAATTTGCACAGCAGTTAAGTGTGGATTTCTGTTGTATTATTCCCATAATTTTTAACCACCATAGCTCGCCTCCGCATCATCATCATCAGGGAGGGGGCAAATGGCTATTGGGATGGGAAAAAGCTGACATCAATATTTTCTGCTGCATTTTACACATTCACGCATATTAAGTACAAATCTCAGGTACATTAAGCACAACACTCACGCACATTGAGTACAAATCTCACGCACATTAATCAACCGCACAACCGGACGGGAACCTTTATATATATATAATTTTTATATAAACTTTTAGGATGGTGTGTTTTACATGCTTGAAGACAATATAATGATTAATTCCCCAAGTGTTCTCTACTCAGGTTACTAACAAGTCATGATCAGGTGATAGTCCACTGAGGATCAATCTCATGACCTCCCATATGGGAGATGTCACTACATTCCATCTGAGCACAAGGTGCTTGGTAGGTGATTGTTCACTTTTAGCTTTTTTTTTTTTTTTTTTTTTTTTTTTTTTTTTTTTTTTTAAAATCAAAATATCTCCTTTTGGTCCTAGTATTATTGTGACCTGGCCAATTTTGGTCCTATATCAACAAGATCGTTGAAATTTCGTTAGATAGAAGGACATTTTGATCTTTTTAATAAAAATTGCGTTGACCCGTTATATATTTTATGTTTATCTTTTGAAAAAATTCATAATTGAAGAGCGAAATGCTCTTATATTTAACACAATTTCACTAATTTTTTTGATCGAAGACCAAAATTGATCATGTCACAATAATACTAGGACCAAAAAGGGATGTTCTGGTGAAAAAGGGACTAAAAATGGACTGTCACCTATAAATCTAGGACAAAAAATGGAATTAACTCTTGAAAATAATGTTGCAAAAGTGGTTTCAATATAAGAAAGCAAATAAAATGTGAATTTCCTACTTTACCCTTAAAATTTTAAATATTTTTTAATTTTTCCGCCAGTTTTAACAGTCAGGGATCAAATGCGTCACTTCGCTTATAACTGAGGGACTAAAAATGGATACGGTCATAACTCAGGGACTGAGTCGTCACTACTATTATAACTCAGGAATTAAATGCGCCATTTTCCCTTTAATGATATGATATTTTGAAAGTGAGAGAAAATTGTAAAAGTGTGAATAACCTTAGGATTTATTTCGTATATGCTTATTATTCTTACACACGGATCGGACAACGTTCGTAACGTTGTAAAAGTTGCAACGTAATGTCACTTATTTATCATAGCTTAGCTTGCCCTAGCTTAGGCCCTAGCTTACACATCACTTACTAGCTTTCTTAAACACAACAACGAAGGGAAAATCATTGAGACCCAAATGAATAGCCCTCGTGAGTGGGTCGATCTGTCCGCCGAGGTTATGGCATCGGCTGGTGCCGAACGGACAATAAGTGAGTCTGTAACCGTTAAGGCTCGGTTCCACTTCAATCTTGAACTGGTTGCTTTGGTTTGACACAAACTCGCCGGCCTTCACGAAAACTCGCCCGGAGTTTGGACTCTCATGCATCTCCCAATATAGGCGATCCACACAAAGTTTGTTTGTGGGAAGCTCGAATTTGAAGCTCACGAAAGTCGACGGCAAGACCACGGAGGCGTTCGGGTCCGCCGCCGGGGTAATCGTAATGGGTGTGCCGTCGCTCATGCGCGATATTAGCACGTCGCTTGGGCATTTGCTCGCCCAATCTAACCATTCGAGTTTCAATTCTGTGCCGGGTGGCCACATATATAAGTCGATGGGTGCGGTGATTATGTAGTAAGCTCCGCCGGGCCGGAGCTCGTCTCCGTCGGTGTCCACCACCGGAGTGTCAACAGTAGTGCGAAGGCGGATGGGATTGAACGTGGAGTGAGTTGGGTAGGGAAGGAGATAGAGAGAAAGTGCGAATAAGAGTGCGAGTGCGAGGGCTTTCATGTTGAATTGATTGGTAGATCCAAAGAAGTTATATGTATATATGGTGTTGTTTGAGGCTCATGCCATTGAAAATATTTATAGATGACAAGAGATAAGGTTGAATTATTATGGCACTGCAGACAATGCATGTGGGCATGAGGCAATAGTACAGTTAAATGTGTAAAGCTTTTTGTTCATTAATCACATGCTACAAATAAACAATTCTACTACATGTAATCTAAAATTTTACTCCTTCAAATTTAGTCTCTAATGTGATGAACACTGATATGCTATTTTCTCCATGTGGGTCCCTGTAAATTTATCTACATCAAAAATTTAAGTGTGAAGTAAAAGTTCAGAATAGAGATTGGAGTAGATATAGTATTTTCCACAAATAAATGGGTAATATTGGTTTCAGATAAGATTTTTTGATAAGATCTTTCATAAACAAATACTCTGTACCATTTGTTTAGTCTAGTGGCATGAAGTAAGTCATGGGTTGAAGCCTTAGTACACTACTGGAAATTATGAAATTTCCGACTACTTGAAAGTGATCTTAAATCAAGTTGATACCAAAAAGTGGTCGGAAATAGCAACAAAGATTTTTCCGGATACCAAAAGTGGTCGGAACAAGGCTTTCGACTTGAGTTAAGATAACTTTCAGGTGGTCGGAAATTTCATTATTTCCAGTAGTGGTAGGGGGGAAGTAATAACTATGAATAAATAGTGGCATTGTAACAAAGCTAGTAAAAGAACCATTTTAAAACTTTAGGTGGAGGTTGAAATTAAATTGACAGTTTTTAGTGATAATTAGACACTGAATTTGCTGCCAAAATCTTGTGGTTTAATAGCACTCGAGTTGGTCTAGAGGACAAGAGATAAGGGTGAATTATTGTATGGGGCACTCACCACGTCTGATCTTCTTCCTGTGGGCATTGGTAAAAAAGTGAGCAAATTAAATTTCTTTGCTCATTAATCATGTGCTACAAATATATAGATCTCTGATAATATTATTTTGAAAGATTATTTTCTTGAAGAGAAATTTAGTGGTGTATAGGGTTTACATACATGAATATAATAATATTCAAATAAGTCACTAAACTATTGGTTATATTTGAGCATTATTCCTTGAGTCATATTTAAGCATTGTTTCTTTTGGTACTATATAATTATACTATTGGCTAACACTGAATCATTAGTAAGGACAAAAATAACTATTATGTTATAATATTTATCAGTGAAATTGTAATACTTAGGAAGAAAAAATGTGATACTTTTGATAACAAATGTAATACTTTTAATCAAACTAAAATGTAATATATTAGCGGTTGAGGAGTTACTTATGAATAAAATTGTACGGAGTAATACTTATAAGAAAAAATGTAATACTTATGAAAAACTTGACCTGTCTCAGAGATGCATATATAGGAGATTTTTTATTAGATAAATGATAAGGAATATTGCACTTTTCGTCCCTAAGTTATAGGGTTATTGTAGGATTCGCCTATATTTGTTGGTTGTGCTCACTTTTTGTTCCTAAGCTATAATTGACGTTGCAAATTTTGTCATTTTTCTAACAAAACATTATGAACGAAATTTGCAATGTTAATACCTTAGGGACGAGAAGTGAGCACGACCGGCTAGAAAAATGACGAAATTTGCAAACGTCAGTTATAGCTTGTGGACGAGAAGTGAGCACGACCGGCTAGAAAAATGACGAAATTTGCAAACGTCAGTTATAGCTTGTGGACGAGAAGTGAGCATGACCAACAAATATGAACGAACCCTACAATTATCCTATAATGTAGGATAAAAAAGTGTAATTTTTTCTAAAAGATATGTTTTTATGACAATTGAGTGGGACGTGGTCCCAAAAATGAGAGCCAGTCTGAGATCCAATTGTCCTAGGTAGTGTACGCGTGAGCAATTTGATTCGCTGACCTCTTAATATGAACACAATCTAGCTATCGAATCAAAATTGGTCATGAGCCTAATGCAAGACCAAACAACAAGATCTATAGGCCGGGGATCGATTTACGCCTTTACTTTTCAGATCATTCACTAAGCTCAGGCAATCGATTTCCAGTAGAAGTCTCCAATATACGCAAAGAGTGCTAGCTTATTTCTACCAAAGACCTCAGTGTATCCCAGATATATTCCTATCCCATCTTTCGTTTCAGGTAGTGACCAATCTCCGCTGCAAGAATGACATTATCGGTTATTAAGCACCCCGGAATAAATGCACTTTGAGATTCTGAGATAATCGCCCCCATCATTGGTTTCATCCGGTTAGCATATATATATATATGTATATATATATGTGTGTGTGTGTGTGTGCGCGCGCGCGTGTGTAGTATATATATACAATTATACATACTTAATATATACAGACAGTGTGTGTACTGTATATATATATATATATATATATATATATATTCAAAATCATCCTATAAGGCTTAGTTCTATTCATAGAAGAATTTTATCAAAAGTACCAAACAATTAAAATGTTGAAGTATACAATTTTATTCATTTTCCTGCTTATTTTCTGAAAAATGAACCAAACACACAAAGACAGTTTTCCGTTGCGCAGCCAAACACCGGAAAGGAAAATGTTTTCTAGAAAATGACTTATTTTCTAGAAAACATTTTCCAGAAATCATTTTCCGAGTTTCCAAACGGACCCTAAGTTATCATCATCAAATACAATTGAGTGGGGCATGGTCCTAAAGTGAGAACCAGTTTGAGATCTAATTGCCTAATTAGTGTGTTAACAATCACTACTGGAAATTCTGAAATTTCCAACCACCTGAAAGTTCTTAAATCAAGTCGAAAGCATTGTTCCGACAATTTTTTGTATCCGGAAAAATCCTTGTTGCTATTTCCGACCACTTTTTGCTTTCAATTTGATTTAAGATCACATTCAGGTGGTCGGAAATTCAATAATTTCCAGTAGTGAATCTGATTCGCTGACCTCTTGATATGAACGCAATCTATCGAATCAAAGTTGGTCATGAGCTTAATGCAAGACCAAACAACAAGATCTGTAGGGGACCGGTTTACGTCTTTACTTTTTCAGATTATTCACCAAGCTCAGGCAATCAGTTCCTAGCCGGAGTCTCCTAACTCCAAGGTCTTTTAGTTAGGAAAGGGCTTCTTTACATTCTATTGCCTCAGGATTTTTTGCATACATATATAAGTCCGTGGGTGTGGTGATTATGTAGTAAGTTCCGCCGGGCCAGAGCTCATCTCCATCGGTGTACATCACCGGAGTGTCAGTAGTAGTGCGAATGCGGATGGGATTGAACGTGGAGTGAGTTGGGTAGGGAAGGAGATGATGAAATGTGCGATGGGATTGATTGTGGAGTTCAGTAATTAATTTTTGGAAAATATGGTGTATGTGATGACTGAAATGGTCTTTTGACTATAGCAAAATTATCAATTTGGTCCCGAGTTAATGGATGTCTAACGATTAGGACACTTTTGGAAAAAAGAAAAAAAAAACATAATCTGAAACTAAATTGAAAAATTTTAAAAGTCAGAGAATCAAATAGTGAAATCCTCATAGTTGAGAGATCAAATTAATAATTAACTCTATTTATAGATGACAAGAGATAAGGTTGAATTATTATGGCACTGACAATGTGAGTATGAGGCAATAGTACAGTTAAATGTGTAAAGCTTTTTGTTCATGAATCACATGCTACAAATAAATGGGTAATATTCGTTTCCGATAAGATTTTTGATAAGATCTTTTAAAAACAATCACCTGCTACAAATAAGGGCAAATTAAGCAGTGTGGACCATAGTCCAAAACAACGTCGATGAATTTTATATGTTATAATAATGTATATTATACGTTAGAATAATAAAACTTATGGAGTAAGATAATGTACATTATGTGTTAGAATAATGTACATTATGCGTTAGAATAATGTACTTTATGTGTTAGAATAATGTACATTATGAGTTAGAATAATGAAACTTCTGGATCGTGGTCCACACTAACCATTCCTTTTTCAAAGTTGTGATTTTTAACAAATTACCGACCAACATTGTTGCTGGACAAAAATATAGCTGCTTCCTTGAATAGAACAGTGAAGGAAAAATCACTGAGAGCCAAACGCTTAGTCCCAATAGACTGGTCGAAGTATCTGTCAATGTAGGTGATGGATTTAACTAACCCGGGGTAGCCCGAATTACTAAACCCGATAAATGATAAAATAGGAAAGGATAACGAATATCGATCGCGGGGACAACTTTTGTATTGATAATTCGTTTGTAAGAGAATTACAAGGAAAATGTAATAATTAGACAAGATGCATGATATCCTAACAAGACAAGAACATGTCTTTTTATACTAGCTAACCTCCCAACCTCCCAACCGCCCACCCTATTCTCGTGGGGCGGTTGGATCACGGTCTTGACCGGGTCCACTTGCACGCGGACATGGTCGGGGACGCCTTAGCCGGGGCCGCCCCCGGGCCGTGAGCAGACCCCAACCCCTCGATCCCGGCCAGCGTCGACGTCGACCCCAATCGGGGTCGACCTCGACCTTAGCCAGGGTCGACCTCAGCTTGGGTTGACCTTGGCCGAGGTCGACCCTTGCCGGGGTCGCCCTTGGCCTCCCATGTCGCGCCTTCCCCTCTCCGGGTCGGTTTTTCCCAAGCCCATTCCTAATATATTCATCAGTAGGAGTTACCGAACGACTCAATCTTGAAGCGGTTGCTAATGTTGGGTATAAACTTGCCGGATCAGAGTTCAAGAAGTATAATCCGGATGGATAATATGATATGATGGTCGTACCAAATCTCTCAAAATATACTGACAACTTTTTAAAATACAACTATGAGATTTAATTATTCATTTAGTTAAAAGCTTCATTAATTCTCTAATTAGAAAGGGTATCATTCGATTTTATTGGTAATTTAATTTTTAATTTTGAATTAGTACTTTTAAACAAGTCTTTTAAACAAAAAATGAAAAGTGAAAATTTTAAAACTAAAAAACAGAGAACATAATAATTATGTAGTAAACAACTCGGGTTTACACAACACAACAAGCAATTATATTAAGGATTTATTGAATTGCATGCTTATTCTTACACACGTTACAACGTTACACATCACGTACTAGGTAGCTAGTTATTAGCTTTCTTAAACACAACAACGAAGGGTTTATCACTCAGAACCAAACGACTACTCCTCAACCATGCGTAGAACCTTGAACTCACGTTGTTGCATTCATCGCTCCCGAAGTGACAATAAGTGATTTTGTAAGCGTTACGGTTGGAATTGGGTTCCGCTTCAATCTTGAACTGGTTGCTATTGTTCGGCAAAAAGTCGCCGGCGTTCACGAAATATGGGGACTTGGTTTCACTTTCAGGGTACCTATCAACCAACCAATACAGCTTTTTTGCACAGACGTTGTTGAAACTGAAGCTCAGGTAAGTTGACGGCGAGATGACGGTGGCGTTCGGGTCCGCCGGCGTGATCGTGACCGGAACGCCGCGGCTGAAGGACGCTATGGAGACGACGTTTGGGCATGTGCTCGCCCTTATACGAGAAAGTGACACTTCAACTGGGCCGGAGGCTATGATGTAAACTCCGCCGGCCCGGAGCTCGTCTCCGTCGGTGTCCAGCACCGGAGTGTCGTCGGCGGTGGGAAGGCGGATGGGATTGAACGTAGAGTGAGTTGGGTTGGGAAGGAGATTGAGGGAAAGTGCGAATAAGAGTACTGCGAGGGTTTTCATGTTGACAACAACGTGGGAGAAGAGATGATGTTTGTGGGTGTGTTGTGTTGAGGTCTCAAGCATGCAATTTATAGAGGACAAGAGATAAGGGTGAATTATTGTATGTGGCACTCACCACGTCTGTGGGTATTGGTAAAAAAAGAGCAAATTTCTTTGCTCATTAATGCCGATAATATTTTTTTGAAAGATTATTTTCTTGAAGAGAATTTTAGTGGTGTATAGGGTTTACATGTAGAAATAATACTAGTTACGACACCACGTGTATTGCGCGAATAGTCCAATACCCAATGTATATAGTATTAAAAGAATTGAGATGTGATTCGTACCTAAGACATTTCTTATCCAAAATCAATGAGGAAGTTAAGAATAATAATAAATAATTAACGAAATATTATGTTACTAAAGTTTACACGGGTGGAATGCAGATGTATCTAAGAGAAGTAAAAGTAGGAAAAAAATACTAAAATCAAAATAATATAACCATTCATTTAAGTAAACAATTACACCAACATTTTTTAGTTCATGTTATGCGCCTAACTTAATTGGCTCTTATTAGGTTTGTAGATTCAATTAAGTCATTGAATTATTAGCTATATTTCAGCATTATTCCTTGAGTCATATTTAAGCATTATTCTTTTAGTACTATATAATTATACTATTGGCTAACACTGAATCATTAGAGCATCCATAATAGTGGAGATATTTTGTGATTTTTGAAGATTTTTTGTAAGTGTGATCATGAAAGAAAATATAAGAGGGGGAGAAAAAAAATAAAACAAAACTGATTAAAAAAAAAAAAAAAAAGTCACTGTTAGCGCGCTTGGGAGTGCACCTGACGCGCCCAGCTAGGCGCACTTGTGACACGCACACGGCACATGCGGCTGGCCTATTTTCTCAGTGGGACCCACTTTTCTGCAATAAACTCTTCACTTTGCAGATGAACCTCAACCCTCTCTCTCTTGTCTCTCTCTTCGCCAATATGGCTCTTTTTTTCTTAGAAATTGTGCATTATCCACAGATGTGGATGGCCTAGTAAGGACAAAATTAACTATTATGCTATAATATTTATAAATGAAAGTGTAATGTTTATGAAGAAAAAATGTGATACTTTTGATGACAAATGTAATACTTTTAATCAAATTAAAATGTAATATTAGCGGTTGAGGAGGAGTTACTTATGAATAAAATTGTACGGAGTAATACTTATGAGGAAAAATGTAATACTTATGAAAAACCCAACTCGTCTCATGGATGCATATATAGGAGATTTTTCCTTATATAAAAGATAAGAAAAATTGCACTTTTCATCCCTAAGTTATAAGATTATTGTAGGATTCGCCTATATTTGTTGGCTATGCTCACTTCTTGTTTCTAAGCTATAATTGACGTTGCAAATTTTGTCATTTTTCTAACAAAACATTAGGAACAAAATTTGCAACGTTAATTATAGCTTAGGGATGAGAAGTGAGCACGACCGACTAGAAAAGGGACGAAATTTGTAACGTTTGTTATAACTTATGGACGAGAAGTGAGCACGACCAACAAATATGAATGAACCCTACAATTATCTTATAATTTAGAGATAAAAGTGTAATTTTTCCTAAAAGATATGTTTTTATGACACAATATCTTTTTTTTTTTTTTTTTTTTTTTTTTTTTTTTTTTTTTTTTTTTTTTTACGAGAGAAACTTGCAACAATTTTCTAAGAATGTACACGGGGTAATCATGTTCTTGTGTAATAATCAGCAAATTTTACAAGAAAAATAAATCATATTAAAAAAACTTTAAATTTTAAGTACAAGAATCATGATCGACTTATCTGACCCACGATAGGCAAGATCTTATGTTTAATAGAGTAATGCCTTTTCAACCTTACAAAATATTAAAAGATATAACTTCAATAACTAAAATGTTGAGAGGTAGCTAGGTGGCAACTGTTACGATTCTCATCTCACCAACTTGCCCTTCACTAAATGGGATGAGAATATGAGATAGACTTGATATGCTGATATGCTGACCGTAGGATTTGGGAGAAAAAATCGAAAAGAATTGTTGCCTCGTGGGATAGTCGTGAACAATGTGATACGCCACGTTTAAGTTTCAATTGTTATGTTTTACATTTAGTCACAATGTTCTGCTCTCTCTAGAAATAAGGTTTTAATTAAGCTTCATTGGTATTTGATAAGCACTAATTCTTATTAGTACTTTTATGTGTATAATTGATATCAAACTCATATGATTTCATATTAATTGGAAGATAAGTATCTGGACCCAAAGGAATAAAGGAGATGAAGAAATATGCATTTTGCAACGTTAATTATAGATTAGGATGAGAATTGAGAACGACTAGCTAGAAAAAGAACAAAATTTGCAATGCCTGTTATAGCTTATGGACGAGAAGTGAGCACGACAAACAAATATGAACGAACCCTACAATTATTTTATAATTTAGAGATAAAAAGTATAATTTTACTAAAAGATATGTTTTTATGACACTATCATTATTATTATTATTTTTTTTGGTGACAAGAGAAACTTGCAACCATTTTCTAAGAATATACACTGGATAATCATGTTCTTGTGTAATAATCGACAAACTTTACATGAGAAATAAACCATACTAAGAAAACTTTAAATTTTAAATACAAGAATTATGATCGACTCACTTGACCAGCAAACTATAAGCAAGATCTTATATTTAATAGAGTAATAATGCCTTCCCAACCTTAAAAATATTAAAAGATATAAGTTCAATAACTGAAATGTGGAGAGGTAGGTGGCAACTGGTACGATTCTAATCTCACCAACGTGCCCTTCACTATAGGGGAAATTTGAGAATAATTTGTCAATAATCTTGTAGTCTAATGACATCAAGTTATTTTTTCATATGGGAAGTTGTGGGTTTGAACCTCAGTAAAAACAGTATTGACTCTTTGTGTGCTTCAATGGATTGGGGGCATGAAATTGACTTTTAGACTAGGGTTCTGGTGTGCACTCCACTTGATTCTTTGGTTAGATGTTTTTCAGAATCCTTCAGTTGTATTTATGTATTTAGTAGATAATGTCTCCTAGCTTGAGTCATTCAATTCAATCACACTATTTAATAGGTCTAGTCAACTTAATTACACCATATAATTAAGGCCTTATATATATATATATATATATATATATATATATATATATATATATATATTCCCACAAATGATGACCCATCCCCACCACCTAATATCCAGTTAGGAAATTCCTCCACTGCTCCAAATTTACCTTCTCCACAATCTACTGCTATGGAAGCTAAGAAATTGGACCTCTTACTCGTGGGGAGGTAGGTCTTCACGAATCGTGAATGGACCTAACCGGCCACATACTGAACTCGTCCACAGAACCACTAAAAAACCGTTGTCCTTGTGGTGTTGTCTTTTCACAAAATGCACAAAGACAACACACTTACAACAACGGTTAAGTAAAAACCGTTGTCTTTGACAAAAGTGTTACATCAAATACAACGGTTTTGGACCAAACTGTTGTCTTTTATATAAAAGACAACACTTTTCTTAAAAACTGTTGTCCTTCTAGTGTTGTCTATGTGCATTTTTCTTGTAGTGAAAGATCCTCAATGACGTCATGCTATGGATGAAGAATATAATGCACTTGTTATAAACAGAACATGGGAATTAGGCTCCGTTTGGAAATCCGGAAAATGATTTCTGGAAATCATTTTCCTTTGACTTCTCTTTTCCTTGCATAGCCAAACACCAAAAACCCGGAAAATGATTTCTGGAAATCATTTTCCGGGTTTTTGGTGTTTGGCTATGCAAGGAAAAGAGAAGTCAAAGGAAAATGACTTGTAGTCAATGGAAAATGAGGCAATTTTTTCGGAAAATGACTTCCCTTTTTTTGGGGGGAAGTCATTTTCCTTCTATCCTCTTCTGGCCCGAGAGCCCCACTGGAATGCACACCCAGCCGAGCCCTATCCGCGACCTCACCTCCATCAGCCGCGATCAACACCGCCGGAGCAAGGGAAGAAAATGGTTGTCGGGATGGAGTCTGGCCTAGCCGCAACCCCTTCTAAGCCACCGCCACCTCCTAAAACTTCGTCGACACTCTCACCACCGGCTGAAGGATTGGCCGTCACCGTATCTGACCGGAAATTGATTGGTGTAATGTGATCGCAGCATATCCCATAGACCATCCCCACCCTTCGATTGCCCAGGCAAAGCCTCCATCGCCGGGGAGACCTCCATAGTTGAAGGTCGACTCGGACCACCCGTCGTCACCGCCGGCAACCGATCTGGCGATCTTCAATCTGAGCACGGCGTTTACTCCGCTGGGTCCCTACGATGACTCGGGGAGGTTGAGAGAGGTCACCGCCGGCCTGTGCGACCGCCGGCGTCGCAAGACCGGAAACCAGAGAGCAGTACTCTCTGGTTTCCGCCGTCTCTTTTTCTTTTCTTTTTTTTTTTAATTATTTTATTTTTTATTTTTTAACTTTTTAATAAATAATATTATTTGATTTTTAAAAAATAAATATTTTTATATTTTAAACAAAATAATTAATTAGATAAAATGTTTAATTATACAATTATATCTCATTTTCTAGAAAATGAACCAAACACACAAAGACAGTTTTCTGCTGTGCAGTCAAACACGGGAAAAGAAAATATTTTCCGGAAAATGACTCATTTTCCGGAAAATATTTTCCAGAACTCATTTTCCTACTTTCCAAACGGAACCTTAGTCCCAAAAACGGATCAAACACCAATTGGGTGTAAGTGGATATTTGATATTAAAAGAAAGTCGGATGGATCTGTCGATCGGTATAAAGCCCGATTAGTGGCTAAAAGTTTTTTACAAGAAGCTCTTGCTTTAGCATCCAATTGGCCTGTGCAAGTTGGATGTGAACAATGCATTTTCACATGGGACATTGGTTGAGGAAGTGTATATGAAACGGCCTTCGGGTGATTGTGATCCTCTACATCCGAATCATGTGTGTGGCTTACAGAAAGCGTTGTAATGATTGTAAAACTT